CGTGACAATCTGGCCGACGGAACGCTACGGGCGCGACTCTCCCCCGTACGGCGCGAGCGGGGTCCGACGGCCGACCCGGCGGTACTGACCGCGGCAGCGAGATGGAGGCGGGCAGGGGAGCCGCCGCTGCTGCTGCCCAAACACTGCTGCTGCAAGCGAAGAGGAACAACACAGGCAGCGAGTCACCCGGCAGCCCCGCTGACGACAACGCAGGGCCAGCGCAGGGTCGCCCGCTCGCCAAATGCACACGGCAATACACGTGTGTTTACCTACGCAACACATCGTCGTCAATTCCAAATCCAATGCCCCATCGAAATCACTCGATAATTACGCCATCAGCTATACCCATACACCTGCAACCTTGTGGATCTGTAGTCCACTTCGCTACCATGTCCTATTAGCACGGTTGGCTACGTGCCATGCATGCATACGTACGGTTCAGCCCCTATTGGATGGATACAGGGACCAGATAAAGTATTGGGATCTCAACCCACGGTCCTTACAGTTGTTTCCGTACAATATTAAGGACGTCACAGTTTCATCAGTGCCGGATAAAGCTAGTGTGATGATGTTATAAAGGGGCCCTAAATAAAAAAAAACACATGTAAATATTAAAACACAATTGTTTTACTTGCATAGTGAAGTAATTGTATTTTTTCATTTGCTATACAGCCAGATAATACGACAAATCGCTAACCTTAAACACCCAGTCGTTCATAAAAGTTGAAATCAGTATAGTACTGTAGTAATAGAGCAAGTGCAGAATCACTGAACCGGAATTGATGGCTTGAAATAATTTAGCGTGGGGCCCTTGAAAGTGCGGGGCGCAGAGCGTACGCTACTTTTGCTACTAGGATAATCCGGCACTGGGTTTAATGCAGAGCTAACGGGCGCAATTCTTATATCGGTGAGGTGGGACATTTCGATCTTGTGGATTACTTTGTCTCAGTGCCTTTCCTCTCCCCCAAGAGACAGAGCGGCCCCGCTGGGAGCAATGGACTCCCAGCCAACGCGTGAATCACGCGCACTCACAAACTGAGATGCGACGTGCGGATTATCACCGCAAACATTTACATTACGGTGCCACACTGCACCGGACGTGGCAACGGGGTGTCGCTCAAGCTTGCTGGTGACCTCGAGCCAGTGGTGGAAATTCCACATTCCCATGACGGGAGGAAACCTCTCTACTGGGTGACGTACTCTCAGTTTCCCCACAACGTGGTACCTACTTCATCAACCCCGAAGGGTGGATGGGCTGACTCGACCTGCAACGGCGATTTCGCACTCGCAACACACCACGGAGCCGGACTTACGAATAGCTTCACCGCCACGTGTAAATTTCACTTGAACGTGGCCAAAATGACAGTTTCGGCTGACCACGTTGCCTCCATCAAAACAAATATCATTTCCAACGAAACATTTGCATTTCATTGTTTTTTTTTTATATTCGCATTATTTTATTGTTTCCCTTCTACGCGACTTTACCGAAAGAACCGAGAATATATATTTGCACGCTGTTAACGAGGCAGAGCTGAGCAACGGGCAAATCCCCCGCCGGTACGTCGAACCGTCAGGCGGCGCGGCCGCTCGCCTACCTGACTGCAGCGCGTCCCAAATGAGCCGGATGAGGCACCGACAACATCGTTTTGTTTCACGCGCGAGATCGTCCTCGGCTACCGCTCCCGCGGCCGCCGAGAGGCACGGGGCGCGCGAGCCGCCGGTGCCGGGAGCGCCGCCTCGCTCCCGGCCACGTCGTTCGCGAGCCGCGCGCCGCCCCCGGGCCGCGGCCCCGGCGCGCCCGCAGCCCCGGCGCTCATCGCATCGTCGCACCGGTAGCACGCGGCGCCGGCGCCGGCGGCGAACTTGACTCGGGGGAGGAGGAGGGGGGGGGGGAAGAAGGGGAAAGCCGTCGTCGTCACGCGACGTCTCCGGGAGACGTCGCAAACCGCCGAATGCGTTCTCGTGGGGGTGGCGTTGCGTGGCGGGGTAGAGGGCCCAGCGATAGCGGACTGGGCGGGGGGGGGGGGCGTGCAGGGGGAGAGGAGCTGAACAATGGGGGGTAGGGGGTTCGGGAGGAAGATCGGGGGTGGTGGTGGTGGAGGGGAATAATGGGGACAAGATGATTATGGGGTGTGGCTGCTTTCTCTCTCTGTGTTATGAATGTGACCAGGCAGACAATGATTCCCCTAAAGCCTTGAACGGCCTGTTGGGGGGCATCTGCTGTTCCGCGAGCACCTATGGGGACCGGCGGGGCACACGAGGGGATTGTCCGGTGAGCACCATGTCCGGCTACATCTATCTCACCAGCGGTGATGTCTACACATCGCACCTCCAAAGAGCAATGTTGGCTACGCACGGTGCGAAGGAAGTTCAACATACATACATACATGCATCGCGTCAGGCTCTCATTTAAAGCTAAATTGACCTGGCGAAGGCTCAGGACAAGTTCAGGAAATTCATCACCGATGTTGGTCGCGAGCGGGAATTGAACTCGGGTTGCTGGATTCATAGCATAGTGTGCCAACCACTGCACCACCGCTCTCCACACACGCCCAAAGACAAAGATCCCCCCGTAAAAGCCTTAACAGACTGTAGGGGCAAGTGCTGTTAGCGAGCACCTATTAAGGCCGGAACGGCACACGAGGGGGTGGGTGGCCAGCACCACGCCCGATCGCCTTTGTCTCTCCAGTGGCGATATTTACACACCGCACCAGGTACTCATTTGAGGCTGAGTCGACCTAGGGAATGCCCAGGACCGGTTCAGGTAATCGTCACTGGTGTTGTTGGCCGTGAGCGGGAATTGAACCCGGGTCTGTGTTTTGTTCTCTCTCTCAAATTTAGAAGTTCACTAGATTTGTTTTCTACCTGATGACGACTGCTTGTGTTGCAATCGAAACGTCGCATTCTATTATTTAGCTTATTTTTATTTCAACGTGACTTTACCGAAAGAACCAAAGAGTAATGCGTCAATTCATTGAATCACGTAGATTTCGTTTAAGCTCACCATGCACGAATGGAAGAATCACGCGTGCAGGAATTGTTTAGGATTTGTAGAAAAATGAAGTTTGAAATTGAAAGCTCGCGTTACATTTGTGGCTAAGGGTGTCAATAAAACTGTACACCCTAGGTAGGTAGAGAGAAAAAAAACAGTTAAAGCATGTGGTAAAAACAATAATAACAAATTATTTGAATCAGTTGAGACCATCACAATCCATCGCATCCCTGGTGTGGGGGGTGGTGAATCAAGCTATAGGTGCTACTCGCTAATAGCACTTGCCCCAACAATCTGTTAAGGCTATACGGGTGGGGGGGGGGTCTTTATCATTGTCTTCGGAGCAGTTGTATCGTTTCCTGAACCACCCCAGGCACCTCGGAGTGAGCGGAGTGTCGGTTTCGGTATTTGGCAAAAGTCTCATACTCGAGCAACCTCCGTAGATATTCGAGGTGCAGCGTTCCCCTCTTCCGGAAAGAGACGTTGAGACGACCCCTGAAATTAGTCCCGGCTCTTTCAAAATGTCAAGCCACACGATTGATGCTCACCTGCTGTGATGAACTTCCCAGCAGGGAAAATATGGGCTCTGCTCGAGTTCATCCAGCAGTGCATAGAAAAATGGGCTGCAACATTATTATTCCTACAACGGGATATGGGATAAAAGTTTGCCCCGTTATGCTTTGTTTCGCATACATTGCTCATTAATTCAGGAACATATTTCCTTTTAAGAGTAATGTCTTTGCAGATGCGTTCTTTAAAAAAAAATGCGTAAAAAAGATGTTTGGCACAATTTTTAACACGGACAATTTTTTTCGCGATGTAGCGCCTTCCCGTGTGCGCACAGTGAGTACCGCCGAAAATACCTCCGTCACGTGGAGGGGAAAAAAAATCTGCGCTCAATAAATGCTTGAATTCCGTTGTGAGGAGGAGCTCTCTCATGAGGATCTGATGCAGCTGGAACAACAACGACTACAAGGAGCTGTACCAGCAGCAACAGCAGCAGAAGAAACATGTTGTCCAGCTGTCTTTGGACAGATTTTTTTTACATTCTACAATCAAGCCGGAAGGTGCAGAGAAAAGCACAGAAGAAAGTCAGCTTCCTCTGGGCGAACATCGCTGTGGCCCCAGCTTCATTGTCAGATGAAGAGGCAGGAGATCCTGCCGCTTCTTTGTCTGCGTAACTCCACCACGTCTGTGTATAACTCCATCAGCAAGATCTTCAACTGTACGCGAACAACGTCCGTAGATATTCGAGGTGCAAGTTGTATCGAATTCTTAGTATTTATTATTCGTTGAAATGTCTGTTGACTTATAATGCTTCTAAATGTGGAGGGGGAAAACCGGAGGACCCGGAGAAAAAAATCCACACGACCACAGGGGGAGCGTGCAAACTTTAAATTTACAGATGCGAGGGTCCGGATCGAACACGCGACCTCTTGTATACCCAGCGAGGTATTTAACATCTCGCCAAAGGGGTCCCCACTTGCTTGAACACTCGATCAGAAGCCACGACATGTGGTACATCTGGTTGGCGCAGCTCCCAAGATCGGAAGGAGAGGGCCTTCACCGTAAATCGACAGCGTGCGTCAAAGCTGTAAATAACGAGGCAACACTTTCCAGGCACGGTGCCAAACAAACGGAAGAGCAACAAGCTCGTAAAAAAAAGGAAAGTAATAGACAGCCATTTTAATACTCCACAAAGCTCCTGTTGTCATCCAGTGAAATAGGCACGCACGAGAGAAGGAGTCTATTTTGTCGAGCGCCTCTCTGCCTGACACTCGGTTCAGAGTTACGAGGCTTCGGCTTTTTTTTTTCTTGGGCATTTGTGCACTTCACCCTGGCACGGGTGGCACAGGCGCTCGACGCACAGGTCCCGTGCTTTCCCCTCCCACGTCCGCGGCTCGACCATTCAGCGCTCGGCAATCGCTCTTCATTATTCATGTTCATATTTAGGCCCGCGTTGCGCGCGCCGAGACAAAGGATGACACGGCAGGCTTTTTTTTTTCGTCACCGGCGTTTCTATCGACGGTGAATTGCCGCACCAATATTCACGCGACGCACAACGAGGGAGCAACGCGGGCTCGTCTCGACGGGTGAGTCAGGCCCCTTATGGGTTAACGCGAGTCACGGTCAATAAGTCGAAGTGTTCCGATACTTTAACACGCATTCGGCAGTGCTTTCCCCTCCATTGATGGTCCTCGTCCAGTGGTGGAAGTTCCACATTCGTACGGCTGTGCCAAATGCTTTTCAGGTCTGACAAAGAAAACATCCCCCTAACCAGGATTTGAACTTGCAACCTTCTGGATTGATTGTCGGCTAAAGTGCCATAGCACCAACATAAAACCAAACGATATTTATCATCAATTCCAAATCCAATGCTCAATGAAAACCACTGGATAATTTTGCCATAACCTATACCCATACACCTGCAATCTTGTGTATCCACAGTTCATTTCACTATCAAGTGCCAGTGCATGTATTTCTGCGGCACCTATTGTGCTTGGTCTGAAGTGTGCGCTAATGGATTTCTACAGCTGTTGCTGCCCTTCAAAACAATTGGAAATTGCTCCCTTTAAAAAAACCTGTACACGATCGTTTTCTTACCATTCATTGCTGGAAGTTTTAAGTCTAATCCCCCAAGTCGTTCACCATTCCAGCCTGATTAAACGGTCACAATTAGGAAAAATAAATCCAAATTGCGCTGGCACGCAACGCGGTAGATCACGCGCGACAGTTTTGCTTGACGTGGATTGCGCGAATCACGAATGGGGCATCAGGGCTGGATTTGAAAACCATCGTCCTATCAGGCATTACCAGCAACGTTCAACCTGCCACACTCCAACATGGCCGAAACTCGACGCCGACTGCTGTTAAAATGGAAATAACGCGCCGCCTTGCCCATGCGGCGGAACGTATTCATTAGGTGAAATGATGCGTGAGTCGCGGCGCACTGAAATTAAATACCTCCATCACCGCGGGGAGGCTGCGCAAAACAAACGGTACACGCGTACGTGGAAGAGTCACCGCAGGAAAAATAAGTTGCCCGCCGCCGCTCCGCCCACCCCCCCATTTCATCGACATATTTGCCACATCCCATTTTATTTTTTGCCTGACATTGCAAAGAAGGTTGAAACGTGTTGTTAATTTTTTTTTCCGCATTAGATGTCATGAACTCTCCGTATTGTAACCGGTGGAGATTGCGCCACGGCGTACTGGACAGCACACCGGACTTGATGAATCGTATTCGTTGGCGAATGCTGCTGCGTTGGCAGTGGTGCACAGGCGCAAACAACAACAACAACAACCAAACTCACCACACGCGTCAGTAGCACTGTGCAGCCAGACACACAACTAGGTACGGGCACGGTTAGTCGATCGGCGTGGCGGGGTTAAGCGTGGATACTCCAAGCCCTTCTAAGATGCCGGGCCCAGGCTGGAAATCAGTTAAACTGACGTCCAGAGGAGGGGCTCGTTACAGATCGCTCTTGTGGCGGCTTTTCTGTCAGCAGTGGCATCGACATCATTCCCTTTACTTACCTGGCTAGTTTAGAGCACGGGAGCCAAAACCACAGGGAGACTCCCCCCCCCTCCCACCAACCCCCCCCCCCCCCCCCTTTTCGGTATATTCCAAAATGAAGAAAAAAAAACGTGTATTTTGTTCCTCAATATTCACTTAAAGCCGCTCCCCACAAATTTTGCAGATTGTTGATGGATTGCTTGGAGTCAGAGCATCAGCACAGTCCCCGGTCTGGGACCGTCAACTCGCAACGCTTTGAGATCCGGCGCAACCTTTGGTGGATGCCAAATTTGAACTGAGAAGCTCAGTGTAGTCTGCTAAGTGCTCTGATGCAATGAAAGGCCCCTAAGCAAACTCCAGTATTTTGAGCCTCGACATTAGAAATCTCACCTGCGATGCCATGATCTTCTAATACTCATTTGAATCCTAGCCTGGTTGTAGATGTCATACACAGCTTGTGACAACAACTTTTTGTTTTCATTTTTTTTTACCAGGTTAAAAAGCTCTTAATTATTTACATTGCTGGGAAGTCATTAGAACTCAGAGGAGACTGAAACATGCAGTTCGGTGTCTATAATAAGGCAATAGATAAATACGTGAGCAAAAATACAAAGGCAAACGAATGGACGCTTGGCACGTTAATAAAGCAGAAAAAAAACTAAGAAGATAAACAAGGCTGAGGCTATGAGCATGGAAGGCCATAATGGGGTTAGTGTTGCATTGATGCTATCAGGAGACTACGGTAAGTGGCAATGAGCAAAGGGAAAACCGTATTTGCCACGAGTGTCACATTTAAATTGTCCAGGCGATGGAAGGACAGACTGGAAGTCTGCCAAACAGGCTATGACAGGCCAAGGTCCCATGGGATTAAGATGTTAAATTAAGCGTTGTGCGCTGAGATGGAAGATTGGACTGACATTGTTTAACTACAAACAGGACGGCAGAGGAGGCAGTTTATTGGGCTGCCAAGGGAGAGCAAATTCAGGATTCCTGCCGCTCCAGAGATAATGATAATGGGATTTCCCCTCAGGATTCAGGGCCTCGCTCCCATTCTGAATTGTCAACCCAAGCGACCCAGGATCCTCAAATTTACAGCTCACGCCTCCTCCTCCAGCCTCGCAGATAAGAAACCAGAATCTCTTATAGTCATGGAAACGGCTGCCTTGTCTTTTTTACAGTAGCCTGCAATCTACTTATGCATTTGTGTCTATGGTGATACACTGAGAGTCCGTTTCATCAAAGTTATCCCCCTTGATTTCTAATTCCAAACGTCTTATGACACCTATGCTTTTATCAAGCAGCATTAAACATGATAATAACAATGCAATTTATAACGCACACAACATTTCAGAGCTATAAATTACCTCGACTGAGGCGTGGAGCCAAGATGAGCGTCACCTGAAGGCCAGGCTATAAAGAAATGGGCCGTTCATTTTTTTCATAAAAATAGAGATTTTAGAATGCTGCGGGGGAATGTGCAGCGGGATGGCACTCCAGATGGCGGGGATAGCCTGGCAGTGTGCATGGTTCCGGTTCTTGGTATAGGGAGGAAGAGGAGGAGGAGGAGGAGGTTGCGGGTCACGCTGCCGAGAGTTCTACTGTGAGCTTTGCTTGGGGGCGACGGGAGCGAAGAGGGGTACACGGGGGACGACTGCACGTGGAGGCGCAGTGGCACAAGCAGCAGGCGACCTTTTGGCTGACCCTGCTGGCGATGGGAAGGGAGCGGAGGGAGGCGAGGGAATTCTAGCCGAGGACGGCGGGCGCCGAAGATGACGCAAGGGGGATGGCTTTGCAACCGTTGGGATGTGCCTTGAGGTTGCCCGATGAAAATCGAACTGGGACGGGAATTGCAGAAGTTGAAGCGAGACCTGACTCAGCTGTACGCGAAGGTATTGCCGATTTTCTGGTGGAGATGGGTGGAGGTAAATGATGGAGGGCCCTGAGGTGGTAGTTGCCAGGCCTGATTATGTGGTTGGGTGTGGCTGTCGGACATGGTGGAATCGAGGGTGACGCTGAGGGACTTGGTGTGGTCGCAGAGTTGCATAGTGCAGCCAGCGATTAGTTGGACGTGGTGACACGCTGTCTGGTGCTGATCAGGCCACGTGTAAGCGATTCAGTTGCATGCAACTAGGTCACGCATCTGATCGCTTTGCCTTCAGAAAATTCAGATAACCCCCACCCATTTATTATAATAAATGTGTGGGGTGGTTAGACACTTGCCCAATACATTAATTAACCATTGATGGAGATCGAGCCCAGAAATTCCAGGCTGTCAGTTGACCCGTGTGACCTGTCAATATACCTGGCAGCTCATTAGAGTTCCAAACAGGATTTTGATACGGCGGCAGACACCAGATCAACATTTCCCAGAAAATTTTTGTTTTTTTTGCAGGTAAGGGGCAAAGGTTTATGGCCCATGTTCGTTTTGTTTTACACCACCCCCCCCCCCCCCCCCCCCCCCATACACAGTGTGACAAAAATTACACAACAGAGTCAGTGACAACGACTTACACCAGTCACAAGACGCAGAGTGAACGCTAATCGGTGAACGGGCCCCGTCCTTCGGAGTAAACAGGTTGATTTACGCGTGGATGAATGCAGTCATCCCAAGGTATGAAAAGAAGTGTACTCGTTAATAATTCATACTTGGGACATCCCCTCTGGGTCATGATAATGCGCCCGATGAAAGAGTGCGGCAGGGCAACAAATCATCGCGCGGCTTTGTCTACCTGTTTCAATTAAGGACACTTTATTCCGTAATTAAAATTGAATATTGCTTGGGCCGGCAGCAGGTGTCAGAGGAGGAAACGTGTTTTCACACTCAGCGGCTTTAAACATGGATTTGTTGAGAAGCGGAGACTGTTTTTTTTTGTGGATGCAAACTATTGTTTAAGCCAAAACATGTGTGCGAGCATCACCAGTAAATATTCCAGTATTTCGCTATTGGGAAATATCGTCATTTAACCATAGAAGCTGCTACCCAGACACCTCCATGTGTATATAAAAAAAATAATAATGTCAACTTGTAACACGCTCGAACAGTATTTGCTCACTCTCGACAAGAGAGAACAACTCAGAGGAACGACTCAGAGGAACGAAGAAGGATCCCAGACATGGAAGCAATAAGCCACCACCCCCCCCCCCCCCAACACCCACCAAAGCTCTGCAGTTCTCTACATATGAAGGTGTTATCAGCAAATTAAGGAGTGTTTACATGTGGGAGGAAACCGGAGCACCCGCAGCAAATCCATGCAAGGGGGCAACATTATATCCCAGACAGATGGAATAGGTGCAGTCCACACCTGCTGTATCGCCATCTCCTGGCGAGCCAGGGTAAGGCACCTAGAAGCCCATGGGAAGGGAGCTCAACAACATTTGTGTGATCCACCAATCCTGGCCTCCAGTGCTGGATTGCAGGCGTGCACCAGCACTTCGTGAAGAGTAATTTGTGTGATTTGAACCGGGGCTACCTGCTTCAGAGACAGCCATGCAACACTACACAGCCTTGGTGAAATATAGCCCCATATACATATCTGCAATAACTTCACATACTCTTGGATACCTCCATTCACCGCAATGATACATTAAACATTCCAATCGTATCAAATTTCTGGTGCACCTCTGCACCTCAAAACGTTGTAAATATCAATTGATAACTATAACATTCTACAATAAACCCCTGCGGAATTCCATACACCCTCTAATATCACATATCAGCAACTGACATGTGACACATTATTAAATAACTCCACATGCCAGATGCCTGTACACACTGCCCCGAATACCACCACATATCCCGAAGTACATCCACAAAATGATAACAATGTCTTGTGCTTATACTGGAAGGCATCACTGAGTCTCGATACTTTTGCACATGGGTTCTGCTGTTGGGATGTTTGGCCACTCTATTCCTAAAGAGTGTAATGCGCACCAGAGGAACCCCGGAGTACCTGGGAGGGAAAGAAAAACTCACACATAACGCTCAAATGTCCACATGAATGGGTTGCTGAACTCACTTTCTGAGCGGCTTTTCCCGGCCACCTTTTAAGCCCAGGTCATTGGAGAGGATCACAAACCCACGCTGGACCATGAGCGCGTGCCACCGCAAGCTGGAGGCCTCACACCAGCGTGACCCCAAGGTGCGCACAGACACCCAGATCCCTCATTGTCACTCTGGACACATTCAAGTAGAACCACCCCCCCCCCCCCCCAAAAAAAAAACCACAAGAGAACAAAAGACAAAGATCCCCCGTAAAACCTTAACAGCCTGTTGGGGCAAGTGCTGTTAGCGAGCACCTATGAAGGCAGGTACGGAACACGTGGGGGTGCGTGGCCAGCACCACGCCCGGCCGCCTTTGTCTCCCCATTGCTGATCTTTGCATATCACAATAGGTGCTCATTGAGCCTGAGCTGACCTAGGTTAGTAGTATAGAGCAGTAGTAGTATAGTAATAGTCGGGAAGGCCCATGACCAGTTTAAATAATCGTCACTGGTGCTGGCCGTGAGCGGGAATCAAACTCGGGTTGCCGGGTTCGTAGCGCAGCGCGCTAACCACTACACTACTGCTCCCCACAAGAACATATACATACCCAAAGCCATCCACATAACGTTACCACATTCATGTAACTCTGCCACAATCTATACAACCATAAACTCCTCCATGAAACCCCACTACAACACACGTGTATAAACCAAATCCCTTTCATATAACCCCACCAAAATCTACACAACCCCATATCCCTCCACGTAACCCCACCACAATCTACACAACCCCATATCCCTCCACGTAACTCCACCACAATCTACACAACCCCACATCCCTTCACGTAACCCCACCACAATCTACACAACCCCCCATCCCTCTACGTAACCCCACCACAATGTACACAACCCCATATCACTCCACGTAACCCCACCACAATCTACACAACCCCACATCCCTCCACGTAACCCCACCACAATATACACAACCCCATATCCCTCCACGTAACTCCACCACAATCTACACAACCCCACATCCCTCCTCGTAACCCCACCACAATCTACACAACCCCATATCCGTCCACGTAACCCCACCACAATCTACACAACCCCATATCCCTCCACGTAACTCCACCACAATCTACACAACCCCATATCCCTCCACGTAACCCCACCACAATCCACACAATCCCATATCACTCCACGTAACCCCACCACAATCTACACAACCCCATATCCCTCCACGTAACCCCACCACAATCTACACAACCCCATATCCCTCCACGTAACCCCACCACAATCTACACAACCCCATATCCCTCCACGTAACCCCACCACAATCTACACAACCCCATATCCCTCCACGTAACCCCACCACAATCTACACAACCCCATATCCCTCCACGTAACTCCACCACAATCTACACAACCCCATATCCCTCCACGTAACCCCACCACAATCCACACAATCCCATATCACTCCACGTAACCCCACCACAATCTACACAACCCCATATCACTCCACGTAACCCCACCACAATCCACACAATCCCATATCACTCCACGTAACCCCACCACAATCTACACAACCCCACATCCCTCTACGTAACCCCACCACAATGTACACAACCCCATATCCCTCCACGTAACCCCACCAAAATCTACACAACCCCATATCCCTTCATGTAAGCCCACCTCAATCTACACAACTCCATATCCCTCCTCATAACCCCACCAAAATCTACACAACCCCATATCCTTTCACGTAACCCCACCTCAATCTACACAACTCCACATCCCTCCTCGTAACCCCACCACAATCTACACAACCCCACATCCCTCCACGTAACCCCACCACAATATACACAACTCAATATCCCTCCACGTAACCCCACCACAATCTACACAACCCCACATCCCTCTACGTAACCCCACGACAATCTACACAACCCCACATCCCTCCACGTAACCCCACCACAATCTACACAACCCCATATCCTTTCACGTAACCCCACCACAATCTACACAACCCCACATCCCTCTACGTAACCCCACGACAATCTACACAACCCCACATCCCTCCACGTAACCCCACCACAATCTACACAACCCCACATCCCTTCACGTAACCCCACCACAATCTACACAACCCCCCATCCCTCTACGTAACCCCACCACAATGTACACAACCCCATATCACTCCACGTAACCCCACCACAATCTACACAACCCCACATCCCTCCACGTAACCCCACCACAATATACACAACCCCATATCCCTCCACGTAACTCCACCACAATCTACACAACCCCACATCCCTCCTCGTAACCCCACCACAATCTACACAACCCCATATCCGTCCACGTAACCCCACCACAATCTACACAACCCCATATCCCTCCACGTAACTCCACCACAATCTACACAACCCCATATCCCTCCACGTAACCCCACCACAATCCACACAATCCCATATCACTCCACGTAACCCCACCACAATCTACACAACCCCATATCCCTCCACGTAACCCCACCACAATCTACACAACCCCATATCCCTCCACGTAACCCCACCACAATCTACACAACCCCATATCCCTCCACGTAACCCCACCACAATCTACACAACCCCATATCCCTCCACGTAACCCCACCACAATCTACACAACCCCATATCCCTCCACGTAACTCCACCACAATCTACACAACCCCATATCCCTCCACGTAACCCCACCACAATCCACACAATCCCATATCACTCCACGTAACCCCACCACAATCTACACAACCCCATATCACTCCACGTAACCCCACCACAATCCACACAATCCCATATCACTCCACGTAACCCCACCACAATCTACACAACCCCACATCCCTCTACGTAACCCCACCACAATGTACACAACCCCATATCCCTCCACGTAACCCCACCAAAATCTACACAACCCCATATCCCTTCATGTAAGCCCACCTCAATCTACACAACTCCATATCCCTCCTCATAACCCCACCAAAATCTACACAACCCCATATCCTTTCACGTAACCCCACCTCAATCTACACAACTCCACATCCCTCCTCGTAACCCCACCACAATCTACACAACCCCACATCCCTCCACGTAACCCCACCACAATATACACAACTCAATATCCCTCCACGTAACCCCACCACAATCTACACAACCCCACATCCCTCTACGTAACCCCACCACAATGTACACAACCCCATATCTCTCCTCATAACCCCACCACAATCTACACAACCCCATATCCTTTCACGTAACCCCACCTCAATCTACACAACTCCATATCCCTCGTCGTAACCCCACCACAATCTACAGAACCCCATATCCCTCCATGTAACCCCACCACAATCTACCCAACTCCATATCCCTCCACGTAACCCCACCACAATCTACACAACCCCATATCCCTCCACGTAACCCCACCACAATCCACACAATCCCATATCACTCCACGTAACCCCACCACAATCTACACAACCCCACATCCCTCTACGTAACCCCACCACAATGTACACAACCCCATATCCCTCCACGTAACCCCACCACAATCTACACAACCCCACATCCCTCCACGTAACCCCACCACAATCTACACAACCCCACATCCCTCCTCGTGACCCCACCACAATCCACGAAGCTCCAGGCCCCTCCGTGTGGCCGCACGCCGCCCGCGCAGGGCCCTGGCTCCCGAACCCGGCGGTCTGCGCCGGCCTCCTCCTCCGCCGCCGCCGCCCCCACCTTTCTCGCTGACGCTCTCGCTCTCGATCTCCACGTCCTCGCAGCTCGTGTACTCGGGCGTCGACGCGAGCTCCTCCTCGGAGCTGCTCATCGACATCTGCCGCTTCTTGCCCGATGCCCCCCCCGATCCGCCGCCACCGCCGCTGCCGCTCCCCGAACCTCCGCCGCCCCCGCTCCCTCCTCCTCCTCCTCCTCCTCCCTTCTTCTGCTTGTGCGGCTTGGACGGCCGTATCGACTCGGACTGGTCCGAGCTGAGCGAGTCGTTGCGCAGCATGCTCTCCAGCTTCTCACGCTTGCTCCTGCGTGCGCCGGCCGCGGCCGCGGCGGCCGAGCTGGGGTCGAGCCGCTGCTGCTGCTGCTGCTGGCTCTGAGACTTGGACGGCCTCGTGGCGGCGGAGATCCCCGAGGCGCCGGCCCTCTCCGACGCCCCTGGCGGCGGCACGGCAGTCGCGGGGCTGTGCCGCGGGGGCGTGGGGCTCTGGTAAGGGCCCCCCTCGGAGCGCTCCGTCGAGTAGGAGCGCTGCTGCGCCGGTGCCGAGTCTTTGGCCGCCCGCCGCTGATCGTCCATGGCAGACGCTCCCCCGCCTGCCGCCGCCGCTGCTGCTGCTGCTGCTGTGCCGCCACGTTGCCTGAAGTTCAGAGATTAAAAGTCATGCAATCCTCACGTATATTCCCTTTTTTTTTATCAGGAAAGGCCTGAAGAGCTTTGTAGGGTTTTTTTTTTTTTCGGAAACGGCCTGGCCGCAAATGAAAGCTCAACGAAGTGAATTATCACATGGAAATTTACAGCAGCCAAATACTGTAAAAGCACGTTGATTCTAAATGTGGATGTAAAAAAACGGAGGTCCCGGAGGAAGATCCATGCGACCACGAGGAGAGAGACACCGCAAACTCCAAATTAACAGGAGTCAGGGTTGGGATCGAACCCACAACCTCCTGCACACCAGGCGAGGTACTTAACATCTCGCCACCGCGGCAACTGTCCGAGTGCCAGATGGATTGGTAACTTTTTTTATTTATTTAATTGCACATTGACGAAGTGACTCACTTGTGGAATAACAAAATACATAAGCCGACGATATGTCTCCTTAATATTCCCTTCTCTGCACAAGTTATCAGATCCACTCAATTACCGACATTCTGATCACTCCACCCCTAGCCTGCCAGTGCTGGTGAGGTGGCACCACCTCAATCTGCCCTCCACCCCCCCTCCCTCCTCTCCCCCCCTCCCTCCTCCCCCTCCATCCCCACCTGGCGTGCCGCTCCCTGCGCGCCCCTCCGCCGGCCGGCGGCGGCGGCGGCGGTGGCGGGAGCCCTCCCTGCTCCGTCTCCGTGAACGCCAGCGCCACGTCGCTGTGCCTGCGCTCGTGGCGGGCACGCGACACCTCCGCCTGCAAGCGCATGCGCTCCTCATCCGGCGCCGGGCGCACCGGGTAGCGAGCCAAGTTGGGGTCACTGCGGTAGCGCCCTTGAGCCGCTGGCTCTGGCCGCAGCTGCTGCTCCGGATCAACGTTGCCGGACGACGCCGACGCCGACGCGGTGGCCGCCGCCGACGCGTCTCCCTCCGCGCCGCCCGGTTTTGATGGCGCCACGGGCTGGCCCTGCTGGGACGTGGACGGCTCTCCCCTTTGCCCTGTATCTGGGGGGTGGGGGGTGGGGGTGCGCAGGACGTCGGCGCGTTGCGCGATTGCGACGGCAGCGGCGGAGGCGTTGGTTGGAAAGAGGGCGAGCGCTAGCCGCGACCGCCCTACTCGCTCGACGTAACATGATGTGTTCACGGCAGCAGCATTAAGAGGTCGATCCAATTGGTCGGAGTTTTTCGCACCTCTCCATTGGGCAAATGAGTGTCGGGTGGCGCTCGTCTCTCTTGGCTAGGCTGAGCCGGTGGTGGAAATTCCACATCTCCACGGTGAATGGCAGTTTCTCCATAACCACGGTTAACAACCACTGTTAACTTCCCACAAGGCAGTACTTATTATTATTATTATCTCATTGCCCCCCCCCGCCCCCATGGTTAGATCACCGGCTTCAACTCGAGACATTCCTTGCACCACACCCTTCATCTTGATACGATGTCTGCTCATATTGGGAAGCCACTGGAGCTCTCTATCCAGCTTTAAATCTAGATTGAGAAATTGAAAACTCATTTCTTTAGAACTGATTTTTTTGTGTTTGGTTTGTTGTCCTTCCCGCACGACCTATTATCATGGTTGGCTATGTATGGTGCGAAAGAAGTTCAGCATACATGCGGCGTGAGCTGGCCCGATGGTGTGATCTGTTGCGAGCAATTTTCAAACATTATATTTGAGCCACACCATGCCTCATGAGTTTAGGACCTGTGTCCAAATCCCCTCTCTCATCTAAACCCAGGAGATACAGAGTTTCAGGACGTGTGTCCCAATCCCCTCTCTCATCTAAACCCAGGATCACAGAGTTCAGGACCTGTGTCCCAATCCCCTCTCTCATCTAAACCCAGGATCACAGAGTTCAGGACCTGTGTCCCAATCCCCTCTCTCATCTAAACCCAGGAGATACAGAGTTCAGGACCTGTGTCCCAATCCCTTCTCTCATCTAAACCCAGGAGATACAGAGTTTCAGGACCTGTGTCCCAATCCCCTCTCTCATCTAAACCCAGGCTCACAGGGTTCAGGACCTGTGTCCCAATCCCCTCCCTCATCTAAATAAATAAATATATACTACCATCATCAACACTCATCACTGTCACCAACATTATTCATAGTCATCACCACCACTACCACCATCGCCATCCCCAATCATCACCACCACCATCACCATCCCCAATCATCATCACCAGTACCACCATCATCATCACCACCACTACCACCATCAACATCATTGTCATCACCAGCACCACCGATGAATAGTGGTGATGATAGTGATCGTAGTGCCGGTGATGATGATTGGTGGTGGTATTAATGATGGTGGTAGTGGTGCTGGTGATGATGATTGGTGGTGGTATTAATGATGGTGATGATGGTAGTAGTGGTGATGATGATTGGTGGTGGTCTTAATGATGGTGATGATGGTGGTAGTGGTGCTGGTGATGATGATTGGTGGTGGTATTAATGATGGTGATGATGGTGGTAGTGGTGCTGGTGATGATGATTGGTGGTGGTATTAATGATGGTGATGATGGTGGTAGTGGTGCTGGTGATTGCCATGAATTATGTTGGTGGTAGAAGTGATGACAGAAGTGGCATTTTTGGTGCTGGTGGTGGTGACGATGGTGTAGTTGGTTCTTACGGCAATGTCGGTGTTGGTAATGATTGACTACATGCTCATTACTACCACCACCACCACCACAACGACCATCATCACCACCATCACTGTCATCCACGCTGCTTCTCACCGTGCTTGTGTGAAGATCGTGAGCCGGGGCCTCCGCGCTGGCTGCCCCCACGCTGCTGCTGCTGCTGGGAGGGCCCCGCTGGGAGCCCCTTGCCGGAGGGACCGGCCTGCGCCTGCGCCAGGGCCGCCGCGGCGGCCGCTCGCCGCTCGTCGCGCATACGCACGGCGCGCACGTCCAGGTCCCCCGAAGAGGCCGGGCGTTTCCTAGCGCACGGAGAGAGCGCGGTTACCTCTCGCGGTTACCCCTCGCAGCTACCCCACGGGGGTAACCCCACGCACGGCGAGAACGCACGGTTACCCCTCGCGGTTACCCCCGCGCAGTTACCCCACCGGGGTAACCCCACGCACGGCGAGAATGCGCGGTTACCCCTCGCGGTTACTCCGCGCACGACGAGAAAACACGGTTATCATTCGCCACGCTTCGGCATCACACTTCCTTCCTCGTGCCGCAGCCCTGAAATGGGGCAACGTTGGGCCAACGTTGGTCCAAAGGTTCCAACAACCGCATGCCAACAGTCTGTCTGTCCTTACAGCATCCGAACGTTTGCCTTTAGCCCCCCTCCCCCCCCCCCCCCTTGTTACAAAGTCAATAGGTCCTTCAAAGACCTCCCTTGCAGTCTCATCACCACCACCACCATCTAGTTGTAGGTCTTCTATTCCCCTTAGTCACTGACGCAATGCTTAACTTGCCTTCCTCCATCCTACACAAATATCCCATCCATTGCAACATCACCTCTTTCTCTTTCCCTCCCTCGCCCCTCCACTCCTTCCCATCCCTCCCCATACTCATTTGGTGATCCCTAAGTACCCCTCTGTCGCAGTCCCTCATTCCTAAACCTTTGCACACCCCTGCCATCTAAACCATTATATTGCCACCGTTTTTTTTACTATATTAAGCGCCTTAAGTGAAGGCGTTTTATAAATAAATATCACGTCTACTTTTTCGTCGCATTCCAGTCAGAAATTTTAAGTTGCTCATCCTATCTTGCCAATTATAATCACATGTCCGTTCACACAGCGTTTGTTCATACACTGCAGATTCATGATCTAAATATACGGAAGAAAAATTTTATACGCTTTTCGCGCATTTACATTTTCTACACTGGGTACAAGATTATTGTGGCGAAGCGCCGGACTGGGGACAGTTTCAATTTAAAATCCTGGTCCGGGAGTGGAATCAACAAATCATCTCTCTGTGGTCGATAAAAAGGTACCACTTGATAAAAAATAAACTGTGATTGTCGTAGGATGCTGGAAATTCAGCCACTTTGCTCAGGGCCATAACTAGAAATAGCCCTTGGGTCACTGACCTAAACATGACTTATTGCCACCGATCGGGGGTAGAAAATGCTAGCATTGCTGTACCTGGCGCATCTTATCTCTAGATCACGAACATATATGATAGCGAGGTCACCGTGATGTGTTTTTTTATGAGGGTGGGGGTTGGCCAACACCACGCCAAGCTGCCTTTGTCTCCCTGGTGGCGATGTTTACACACTGCACTAGGTAATAATTTGTGGCTGAGTCAACCTTGGGGAGGTCCAGGACCGGTTCAGATAATCGCCTCCTGGCGTTGGCCATGACCGGGAACCGAGGTTCGTAGCACAGCGCGCTAACCGCCGCACCACCGCTCCCCACACCCCCGCACGTGCATCACCGGTGACTCTCACGTCATCGGTCCATGAAAGGCCACGTGATGTTGAATTCTCACTCCGTGATTAGGCACCAAGGCCCCCCTCCCCCACTACCGCCCTATGCCTCGTGGCCCTGGAGTTGGTGACGCTTTGCGGACGAGGTGGTTTCTTTTTTTTCCCGCGTCGTACGAAATCAATGCGACTCGATGTTTGTTGCCGACGTAGTGTCCACATAAGTGGGTCAGGCCACGAATTAACAATAGCCGGCGATCAATAAAAATTGTGCCTCTCTCTCCGACTCTGCGAACGCCGCCCCTTGCTTTCTGCCTTCACGGGTCAAAGGGGAAACGATCAGCATTCCTCCCCCAGTTCATTTACACCAGTGCCTAAAATTAATCATCGGCTCGAGAATCTGTCGCCGCGCGTTATCACCCAGCGCGCGGCGAACTGCCTGCGGATCTCTCCCGCACTCGCTCAGTGCCGAGGCATCGCAGCCTACATATAACGTCGTTGCTCATCTGTGTCAAAAGTAACATGCGATGTTTAAGAGAAATTCATATTTTTTTCTACATTAGTCTCCAGCCATTTTTTTTGTTTTAATTGGTGCTGACTAACTGCGGTTGAGAAGCATGGTCAATCACAACAACAACAACAAAAATACAGACAAACTGAAAATCCCACAAGGAAGCATGGAGAGATGCATGCTTGGAATTGCACTGAGAGACAGATAAGAGGAACACACGTGGTTTACAATGGATGATGGCCAATGGTCAAGAATCATATGAATGTATTCGAGGAGACGCCCACCAAGAAGATGGAGCAATGAGATCAGCTCGTGTGCATGTGCTCGGTAGATTGGTCCGTGACCTCCTGCCAGCAAGCCTTCCACACTTCACGCGGCATCTAGGTGCACCTAGCCTGGCACAAGTGTTGTGGTGAAGTCACCACCACTTAGTTGGGAATGCCAGCCGTGTGTTGTTGTCGCATCTCAGGCTAGTGGGAGGTGGTGGTGACTTGGGAAGGCCTTCATCTAACAGTGGATTGACCACGGCTAATGACAATGATTATTACATGCATGGGGTTACAATGTGAAATGGCACCACACTCAAATGATCATTGGGTGGTACTCATCCTGAGGGTCCTGAACCAGTGGTGGAAAATTCCCCTCCACAGCCAACACTGTATCCATAGAACATCCATCGCCACTTCTTTTATATATGCCAGAGAGAGATACTGCGCTGAGTCGAACCACGACCTGGATTTGGTGCCAGACTGCCCTACTATTCAATTATTGCACCATTATTACTAAGCCTTCGTGAATGATTATATTCTTAATTATACCTGGGAAAAGTCTCATCGAGTCTCAAAGTCAATTTCAGGAGCGTTCTGTATTGGGTGCGTAACCAATTCCTTCATGAGTGATGTCCTTCGTTAAAACCCAACACTCAAAATTTGTATTCCGCTCAAGTTCAAATTCTACTCGAATGCCACCATAAATGGGGAACTTAGCGGGCGGTGACGCTATGGGCAACGATGTCACCGAGACGCTAAGAATTGAGAGGAAACGCTCGCGTGAGAAGGCCACGATTACACCACCTGAGGGAGCAATACCTCAGTGTTTCCAATCAGGGCCGGATTAATATTTTGTAGGCGCCCGGGCTACAGGTGCTGTGAGCGTCCCCAGTAATGTTTTCAAGAGGAAAACAAAGTTAAAGAAAAATAAAATGTATTTTTCCAAGGCCAACAACAAATAAAATTCAGCATTCACAAGTGAAATTACTTTTCACTTCATCTCTGGAGGCCCCTTCAGCTGGCGAAGGCCCCTGGACTGCAGCCCCCTAAAGCCCCCCCCCCCCCCCGTGCCTTCATCGGGCCCTGGTTCCAATTGATGTGGCCGAGAGCACTGAATCAATCTGTCAAGGCTATTTCAAGAGGGGTGGAGCGGTGTGCACAGTGGCAATGTGCGTACATATGTTGAACTTCTTTCGCACCGTACGTAGCCAGCTGTGCTAACACGACAAACCCCAGTGACTTGAGTCCTCGGTGGCAAGTGATATGTTTTACCAGCCCACACCGGCTCGTTTGGCAAAGTGTGGACTAACGACCCACACGACTGGCAGGCCTTCATCCAGCAGTGGATTAATTAACAAAGGTCTGTACATTATACGTTTGGTATTTTCAATGTTATCGATATGCAGAAGGTTTGCTTGTATACAATTGGTTGAAAGTAGGGACGTTACATGGCTTTAACATGAAGCTACACTTCATGTTAAAGCCATCAATGGGCCACCGCTTATAGCATTCTTCCAGGTGTCGCGATTCAATGCCCCTAGCCAGGGTCAAATCCAATAAGTCATCGATATATAATCGACGCATAAAGAAGATGTTATGGTCCCCTCAAAGATGTGGCTTTTTATTATTGTTGTTATTGTCAATGCCCACGTAAATAGTAAATTAAAAGAGTGGCAATTAATGCATTATACGTGGGTGCCGAAATTTACTGCAGGAGCAATATATTTCCAAAAGAACATGGCTAAGTGTTGTCACCTACGTACGCTATTACACGCAGGTAAAACACTCCACCTAGAACTGTGGACCAGCAGATGGCAAGTATCAGAGCAACCTGTCTACGATTCACACCTCAACAATCCGCTCTCTCAACCAATCTCGGCTCAGTCTGCATCCGGATTGGCTCAAGCCAAGTTCCCCCTTACTTTTAAAAACGAAATCTACCTTTGGAGGCCAATATTGTGTCATATCTCCCTCTGACTATAATAGCTGGAATTGAACAAAGTGTAACTTTACACAAATAAAGCTCGTGTCCTATAAAGTGGATACAGCAATTTGGAATGCTGTGTTAAGGTGACTTGGGGATTAACACAGCATCAGAGAACTGAGTCAGTACTGCTGATGAGATCTTGAATGAAAATCTCGTGATGTACAGCATTTTGATGGTCTAAATCAGGCTGCCAATAACTGCACGCCAAAACATGATATTAAAAAAAAAAGTTTTTTCTTTGAACTTAATTCGGCGTGTGCCAGTGAATTTTGTTCAGATTGCCAATGCAGTGTGATATCACCTTCCGGAGGCCATTCCCTAACATGGGGCCATGTTAGAGAAGCGGCGTAGGTACCGAGAGTACAAGGGGTGAAACTGCACTGGGACCCACGGGGGTCCAGAGGGGGCCCAAGCGCCGGGCTCCTAAGAGAGCGGAAAATCGGGCCGCTTCGATCTTTGCGTCTGGGGCCCGTGCCAAAGCACGCTCCGCTCCACTTCGCTCTGCCGCTTTCTTCCGGGGAAAATTTAGAACGAAAACGTCCCACACATTACGAACACGAGCGGTCCGAGTTTCCAAAACCTTGCAAAATTCGTGGCGGAACCCAAATTGCGGCGTGTTTTTTTGTTTGTTTTTTTTGGGGGGCGGGGGGGTGGGTGGGGTGGGGTGGGGTGGTTTTCAACAAAATCGCTTCGCAAACTGCGCTCGCTCGGCGGACCTCTCTCCGGGCGGCTCGCTGCGCGACCTCAGCGTCGCCTGCCTGTTGAGATCCTTCTGGGACAGGTTGGAGTCGTGGCGGCGGAGCTGCGACGTCGTCGTCGTCGTCGTCGGCTGCTGCTGCTGCTGCTGCTGGTGGTGGTTTCCACCGCCAGGGGGCCCCGTCGCTCCCAGGGGGCTCTGCGACTGCGAGCGCTCCTGCAGGCGGAGGCGCTTCTCGCGCGGGGCGTCCGACGGCCCCGCCCGTGGGACGCCTCCGCCGGCTCCGTCCGGGGTGGTGGCCTGCTGCGGGCCGCCGCTGTAGAACCAGGCGCCCGACTTGATGAGAATCTCCTGCTGCTTGCGGCAGAGGTTGCACACCCACATCACCTGGGGGAGGGCAACGCGGGAGGGAGTGGGTGGAGGGGGAAAGGTGGATGGGGTTGTGGTGTTGGTTGGGGGCAGGGCGGATGGGGATGAGAGTAAAAGAGAGAATCCAATGTGGATCAACACAGAAGCCAATGAATCAATACGGAAGGATGGATAACAACGGGGAACGTTCAAATCGCGTTGCTCGTAAGAAAATTTGGAAGGAACCGGAAAGAGAGGAAGACCTAAGAGAGAATGGCTTGATGAAGACATTATAAGAGATTGGTGCCAGAATGATGTGGCACCACTGGAGCATATTGGCACAAGACAGAGGAAAGTGCAAACAAATGACGAAATGTGCAATGGACACCTACGAGCTGTCTGCTCACGGAGCGTGATGATTATGACAGAAGTCAAAGTGTCTCCCCCTGTGCTCGTCTTCCATGGCAGTCCGAAGCCAGTCGTGGAAATTCAAAATTCCTATGGAGGAAGTCAGTTTGACTCAGCTCATTGTCTTTTTGGGGTTGTCAAAACGAATATCACTTCGAACATTGAACAGTGGTTACCTTATAGATTCGCCTGCCCCGTCATAGCAATGTAGAATTTCAACTACTGGCTCAGGCCCATGAGCACTGCCCCACATTATTGGAGAGACACTTTGGGCAATAACTTTCATCAATAATACCAAGATACAGACTGATGCCACTGTTCAAGATCTCCTTACAGCATGCGAAGAATGTCTTGGAATTTACCTGACAGGTTTTAACCTGATGTCAATAGACAGGCTAACTGAGCGCATCTTCCAAACCCTTAGATGTGCAAATGAGTTTAAATCCTGGTTGAGGGTTGACCCAGTCCATCATCCCTTCAAGGTAGATAAAAATGTATGTATGTTGAACTACTTTCGCACCATACATAGCCAACCACACTAATCGGAGGTGAGAGATTTATTGTCCTACGGATAGACTCGCCCCTGCTATGGGAATGATGAATTTCCACCACTCGCTCAAGGCTGTCAACAGGAGATTAGCACCCCCTCATATTTGATCATTTTGCGCTGTGCTGATGAGCGGAGTTACTTGCTCAATAAGTATTTATTGCTGGGTACGCGCAGCTTGTAACAGTCATTGGGGAATGTCTCCAAGACCATTGCCTCGCTGCAATTGAAACCAAGCTCACGTGGATTTCCTGTATTCACTGACGCAGTGCTCTGGCAAGGGCATTACTAACCCCCTTGTGACACCCAAATCACCTCTCATTGCCATCTTTGATGTGTTCCATCTGAACAGAGCAAATAGACCACATCCGCATGTATTGCTTTACATTGTTCCGCTGATATCGCATTTCTTTAAGGCTAAAATTATATCTGAATATGATACTTAGTAATATTTATTTATTTTCTGGATATGACCTGTATTTTACAAATGTTTCTCGTGGGTGTGAAGTACTATCTAGTAACAACGCCAAAATGTAGATGTTTTAAACTTAAGCTAAACATCAATCATGCATTTGGTGAGTTATACTTGAAAAGTAACAATGGGGGTGAAGATAGCAGGTCATGCATGATGTTGCAGATTAATCTATAGTAGGTGGGGTTAATTTCATGTACCTCTATATTATTCCATAGCGTAATTCTTTTCAGGCTCCACCATATTTTAAGTGCAATCTCTTGCTGACGCCACAGGGAGCTCCAGAGAGACCCTCTAGAGGGCATTTGGCCTACTCTTCCACGCTGAAGCAGAGGAAGCGCCCACGCTTTACCCCACCACACGCCACCTGCCGATCGACTGACTCTGGTGAGCCCATTGGTACTTGCTGGGTGGGCAGAGGCGAGGGGGAATAACAAAAAGTTGCCCATTGTTTCAACTGCCACGTGGAGTATTATTTTGCTTTGATTAAACTATTGTTTTTTTTATTTTACCAGGTAAGGCCCACTGAGCTATATAGATATTTTTCGGAAGCGACCTCACCACAAATGATAGCTCAACGAAGTGGCTCATCATGTGGAAATACTCGAAACGCACGTTGATTCTAAATGTGGAGTGAACAACCGGGGGACCTGGAGAAAAATCCACGCGACCACCCATTTTTTCAACTGAGATTGAGCTGTAGATCTCTGTATTGCCAGTTCAGTGTGCTAACCAACACACCGAGACAACCATCATCCTGTGGTGGGTACCCATTCGTACTGTTGGGTGAACAGATGCGGAGGAGGGGGAGGGGGGTGGGCTTAACAGAAATCTTGCCCATTACAGGATCCCCTTGTTATTCCCGAGGGATACGTTCCGGAGATGCTCGTGAATAGCAAATGTCTCAGATAATGATATTGGCCTATGAGAATGAATGATCTTAAATAAATACATACGGAAGCTATTAAATAGATGAAAATTCTCATGACGCAATTTCGTTCTATATAATAAACATAAAGTAAATCAAAATAAATGTTAAAATATTTAATAATCCTTTACAAATGAACTAACCTGATCTGATCACTTTATCGCATCAAATTATCTCATCGCTTATTCTCATCACTCTATCTTGTCACTTTTTCACATCGCATTCTCTCTGCTCACTTTCTTTCTCTCTCGATGCAGCAGTTGTTTAGCGTTCCAGGTGCAGTGTTGCTGAAATCTCGTGAATAACGAGGAAAGACCGTACTTCAATTGCCAAGCCGGGAGACCAAATCGAATGGGCGACACATGGATTGCAGGGTCCAGTTTGCTGTACGTCCTTCACAAATGGTTCACTTGCAAGTGAACATCAGTAAAAATACGTCGGAGTGTAACTCAATCCTATTGACAAAGACAAGATACCAGTGTTCATACACTTCTGAATGTAAGGGGCATCAAAGGACTGCTGTGCGCGCATATGAACACACCGCGCATTACTCTTTGGGTTTTTTTCGGTAAAGTCACGTAGAAATAATAAAAAATATATATAATAGCATACTATTTCTACGTGACTTTACCGAAAAAAACAAAAAGTAATTCCTGCAGTCACGAAAGCAACCAATCAAGTTCACACCGTGCATATCCTCTTGATATTCCTACTGGCACATCTCTGTTTTAATTCCACTCCTGGATGAGGGTCTTTTGATCATCCTTTGCCACGCTGGTCAGTGCATGTTGGCGAAGGTGGGGGAGCATTGACATTGGAGCACGGCATAATTGGTAGGACAGATATTCTTGGGTCTTTCGGTAAAGTCACATAGATAGGTTCAAAGATAATAACAAAAAAAAGTACGACGTTTCGATCTTGTCATTTTTTGGTATTTTCTTTGAACCTATCTACGTGACTTTTACCGAAAGACCCAAGAATATGAATTCCTGCAGTCACGAAAGCTTTACGTCAGGACAACAGATGTTGTTGCACTGCCCTCTGCTGAAGCAGTCGCCCTACACAGTGGCCTACAACACCTGTTGTATGCTTGGTGATTGCGCATCCAAGCACAGTCGAGGCTCAACCCTTCTTAGCTTCTGCGATGTGACATTATGGACGATTTGGCCGTGACCCTTTGATTATTACCCCGCGGTAAATTGACCTATTTAATTCACCTTTCAAGGCATGGTGAAAACCCTTAATCAGATTCTCATTAAGCCCAAAGTGGAGTCATTATTGTTGTAGCGTTATCAGTAATCTTTTCATCTCGAAACTTAACATGTGTGTCTATTAACCCGAAGGCAAGCAGGTCTATAGCCTGAGATGAAGGCTTAGCTCGGATTCAACAGGGAGCGCTGTACATTCTCTGTTGTTTGTTTTCCCCGTGTTTATCACCCATGTCCACTGCAGATAATTGATGTAATTGATTAATTACATCCAGAAGCAGATGGATTACTTCACTATTCTGGCAAATCACCCGATGATGCTGGATGTAATTACTGGCGAAACGTCATACTCAGATTGTAAATGTTGTGGATTTACTCTCCAACAGACCGGTGGGCTGAAGTAGTAACTAAATTGGCGCGTTGTTTACGTGACAAACCCTTATTGGCCTTGTCGGGTGGTGGAGGGTTACGACACATTTATACTTACGCGATCTAACCCAACAACCTTTTACGATGAAAGTGTTCATTTATCTCAATGTTGCCACACGTTGTTAAGTGGCTAACAACTAAAGTTGCGTGCTTTGCTCGTTAAAAAAAAAACAAATGGAATCGCTCAAAGCTTGTGCGGCACTCGGCCATGCATGACACATTTGGGTACCGTGTGCAATGTGTTCAAAGGTGAGGAGGAGCCCTTAATTTCTAAGAGTGCCTTTCAGCACGTAATGTGCAAATGTGATGTTCCAGGTGTTCTTGGATCGCACGCTCCTCTCAAAAGTGTGTGTTGTTACTTTTTGGGTGTCAACGTCAACCGCTGAGAATCTCATTGCAGGTTGCTCAGCGCCTCACTCTCTACTTCTCCGCGTGCATGCCCCTCCTGCACTACGGCTCTTCTGTGTACTGACCGTAATGCATCATTCGACGCCGTGGAGTGGCCAGTAAACATCGAGTGATTGTCCCTAAACGTGCGCTCGGAGCGTTGGCGTAACAGGCAAATGAATTAAAGCCAGGAGGCGTGACCTTGCAAATATGAAACTTGAATTTTGATTGGCACCCCAATGAGACTGTTGATTGTTAATACTGCATAAAATATGCATTCACATAGCCTCGCCAATGCGACACCCCACTTGACAACAGTGGGCACGACGCAGGAAGGAGCTGCCGGAAACGTCTTGCTCAGCGCGCCTGCAGATGGAGTCTCAGATTTAACTTTTAGTTTTTAAAGGTCAGATGGTTAATCAACACTTAATCTCAGAGCGGAAGCTTTCGAACCACTATTCCGGGAATTGGCACGCCTCATCCATCTCGCGATACTGTGGTGGTGTGTTTAAAAATAAAAAAAACATGTGCTTGAAGGGAGCTCAGGGTTAACAAGATATATTTAAGGACAGCGCTTAAATGTAACTTCCTTGCCCCGAATAAGATCAACTGTCTCTAACGAGGAGGTGCGCACGCCTGCGACGGCAAGTCACTTGACACACGTGACGACGTGGGCGTTCCGGAATTTTTGTTTAAAACTTACGTAGTCAGAAACGAAACCGCCTGCAAGCTGACCAAACGGCATCTACAATAAATCCGACGCAAACTTAAGAGCCACGCCCGTCATCGCGAGGATCAACATTCCTGAACGTGTTTGAGCGATCAGAAGCCAGCCACGGTGCGGAAAACAGCTGACACGTGCGCGCGGAACATTGGACCAATGAGTTGCACTGCACCTTCTGAATGTTTCGTTTTTATGCATATCGTGACGGTTTTTTTTTTGGGAGGTTTGTATGAATATGTACAAAAACGTAGCCAGTTTTTTTTTTTTAAAACGATGCCATCAGTTTCCTTAGATTCGTGTGATATAGATATAGATAATGGTTGATTGCTTTAAAGTATTGAGTAAAAATGACTTGGATATATGTACACTACTCGGAGAGAAGCTGTCATTTTGCAATGGGAAATACAAAAAAACAGCTGTAATATCTATAATTTGATCACAATCCTGTAACTCGAGGCACTAATAGTAATCTGCCTTTTTTCGCAAAACATAAAATGCCAATATAATATGTATTGTGAGGTTGTTTTTGCATATTTTCTAGGATTTAAAGAATAATCTGGCAGAATAATTACATGAGTCGGAGCAGAAGTTGAAAATTTACATCAATTTGAAAAGAACTAAACTAGAACTAAAAACGTACTTTTTAGTTTTGCTTCACCAGGTAAGTCCCACTGAGCTATATAGCTCTTTTTTCAGAAGCGACCTGGCCACAAGTTTTAGCTCAACGAAGTGGCTAGTCATGTGGAAATGTATAGCCGCCAAATATTCTCAATGCATGTTCATTCTAAATGTGAAGGGAAAAACCGGAGGACCCAGGGGAAAATCGACACGACTTTCTGTATCGATAACATGGACATTCCAGAGCAGATTGAACACCTATTCTTAATGTTCTTCATGCCAAGTGTGAAGCGTAGGAATTAAATATTATTCCAATAAACATTGCATTTTTCAGGTCGCTTTTGAAAAATAGCTATAGAACTCAGTGGGCCTCACCTGCTAAAATGAAAATGCAAACTCTAAATATACAAGAATCATGGTTGGGATCAAACCCACGACCTCCTGCAAACCAGGTGAGGTAGTTAACATCTCGCCACCGTGGTGCCCCAGCCGCGCCAGTCTTCTGCATTCATTACTCCCATCTCTTTGGTGTCACTATCCTTTATTATGATGATTGTCTTCTGAACTTCTTCCACCGTTTCAACTCAATGTGTATTTGTCGCAACGGCCCGCAGCCACTAACGACATAGTTATTGTTGGGGTGGAGATGATCCCAGCCAGCAGGCAGCCAGCATACATATTTTGTTGTAGAGTGGTAAAATATATTTACGAAATAATTCAGCTGTACTAGAAACGAAATCTACCAAACACGACTAAGGAGTAATTTTTGGACGTGAGGAGGTCACCGTTGATTTTGTAATGCCAGTTTTGCCTCCTAACTTAACACGTACAAGGCACAGACGTTTGCCCCCTCAAGAGAAATACCCGGCTTCTTTTTGTGAGTTACATTCTTACGCTTATCTTCTCTCTTTGATTGGGCAGAAAGAGAGTAGGATTGAACGCAAACACGGCACATTAAACAATAACACAATGCGACACGAGGAAAATAATAAAAATAACAAGTACACCAATGTACTTCTAGCAATAATCCAATGAAACGAAATAAGCCGTTAACCAATGAGCCATCAGCCAATGAAATACAATTACAAATAAATGCACGGGAAAATAACTTGACTGAAACTGTAGTAGCAACACTTTTTACAAGCAATTAATATTTTAATAATAAATAAAATAAAAACCGGCTGGTATTTTTGTGCTGTTTTAAGTAATCGGACATTCGGTGGATATTTTTTTTTTCCCCATGGTGCAAATCATTGGTCCTATACGTGAACAGCGTGAAGAGAGCAACGAGAGTAGGAAGAAGAGACAATGCCAACCACTTTATCCTCCTGTGTCCAAGCAGTAAGCGTCCAAGCAAAGCAGAAGAAAGGAGGAGGGGAGGAAGGGAAACAGAGAGGACCGGTGAAGTTCAGTTCAGCCACAAACATAACAACAACGCGGTCACAAGGCCAGAATCCGTTGCTCTTGTTGGCATCTGATACACGACTATAATTGAACTAAACCAAACAACGTTTTTTTTTTGTTTTACCAGGTAAAACCCACTGAGCTATACAGCTCTTTTTTTCAGAAGCGAGCTGGTCACAAATGATAGCTCAACGAAGCGGCTTATCGCGTGGAAATTTATAGCAGCCAAATACTCCAAACGCTTGTTTCTAAATGTGTGTGTGTGTGTGTGGGGGGTACCGGAGGAGCCGGAGGGAAGAAAAAAAACATGGAGAGAACATGCAAGCTCCAGACATTAGGGTCAGGATCGAACCTACGACCTTCTGTGCACCAGGCGAGGGAGATAACATCTCCCCACTCCGGCACCATCTGTGCACGGTGAATTACACCACACTGACCCTCAACTGTTGGGGCCCAGCTTCAAGCCTAAAGATTTGTACAAATTGCGAAAACAGCATGAAAATAGTGCGCGACACCGCATTTGTTTTATGTAAAATATAAATACATTTACACCTGAACGCACGAAATGGTGAACGTGTTGTGCATGCATCATTTAAATAAATTTCAAAGGAAACATTAAAACCAAAGTTACAATTTGTAATTATTTAATTCACGTAATCAAACAAAAAATATTGTACCCATGAAGAGGTGCTGTAGTTCAAAATGCGGAGCTCCATTTATACGCCAGTTATAAATTGATTGGAGAATGCAGTTTATTATAATTGTACATTTACCCAGGATGGTTTCATAGTCACACACCCTTTTATCTCCAGAGTTGCCATTGCATTTATGAGGTTTTTTTTTCCATGTTGGAGGACAACAAAGTACCCGAAGAACACCCACACATATGGTAGGAATGCATGAATAACTCACCAGACAGATCAATGACAAAGATCCCCCGTGTAGCCTTAACAGACTAATGGGGCAAGTGCTGTTAGCAAGCACCTATGAAGGCCGGCACGGCACACGGTGGGGTGGGTGGCCAGCACCACGCCCGGCCGCCTTTGTCTCCCTAGTGGTGATGTTTACACACCAGGCACTCATTTGACGCTGTGTCAATCTAAGTGAGGCCCAGGACCAGTTCAGATAATCGTCACTGGTGTTAACCGTGAGTGGGCATCGAACCCGGGTCGCTGGGTTCGTACCACTCCCCTAACTGCTACACTACCAGATGGCTCACACACACGCAATTGGCTGAAAACAATTGGAATTAGATACAACATCTGCAAAGTAGCAGATAAATGTTTATTGTAGCATAATTTGGAAGCGTAAAGTAGACTTACCTTTTGTTGGACGTGCCGAAGAAATAAATAAAGCTAGTATTATTTATTGCCTTAACTTTCTATAAAAATACGTAAAATCGAAAGAGAATTGGCATAAAAAATGAATCATAGCCGCTCGACCTTCTGCGTTAGTCAAAAAAATCCAGGCACACATTACTAATAATGAGGGTGGTTGGGGGCGCATGTGGAGTGACGTCATGCGCGGGACACACACACACACACACAGCCTTGAATGGCTCGTTATATTAGTTGCTGCGTCTATTTCTTTACTAGCTTTACTTTCCATAAAGAAAGGTGAAAATGAAAGCTAGTTTTTGCGTAAACAAACTTTCGTTTCCGCTCCACCACCTTCATGCGGAGTGACGTCACCCGTTCATGATTATTAATGACGGGGGGGCGGTGGGTTCCATGTGGAAGATCACCACCTAGTCATGATTATTAATGAGGGGGGCTGGTCGACGTGGAGTGACGTCACGCGCGTGACACACAGACATTCTTGGCTCATTATATTAGTAAGATATTTTTTTTAATGACTTTATTTCGTTAATGCTCGTCCTCAAACCGGGACACACTAATGCACAACATACCACGTGCCAACCCCCAAACTGGCAGTGAGTACGTAATTATGGATCAACGATGACATGCTCAAGTAAACACAGCAATGGCGTGCAATTTCATGGAGACATAAAACAGAAATCGCTCAACTTTAGTGTGCTTATTTAGCATGTTTAATTGCTTAGTGCTGGAGTATTAAGGGGGTGATTAGCAAATACTAAAGGTCACATTAAACGATACATGCTTTGGTGGAATACGCATGTATCACTTAAGAAGTTCCGTACGACAAATACGGCACGCATATTTTTTCGTGAATGCTTAGGTTAGCTGGATGGCCTATTTGCAAGAACGCTTGGAAATTAATCACCGCCTGCTAAAGTTCGGGGAATAATTTGCACTTTAAAGTTCCTGTGAACATAATTGGGAATAGACGGTTGCTGGTTTCGTGGGGCAAAATCCAAAATCAGACAATTTCCTGCAAATACGTAATTTAAGTGAACTAATACCGCGCCTCCACAATTGCACTTTGTAAAACTTCCATCGTGGTCAATGGACTCACACCTTCTTCGAAATTTAAAAAAAAAACACGATTGATCGGCTAGCATAATTATTTCAATATTCCCCTGCAAATGTGCACTTCTTTTGATTTCAGAGCATGCCTTTTCTTTTGTTATAATAACACATGCTTGCCAGCAGTCGCATCACGGGGGTGATTATACCACCAAATGTTCCAATTATCGTCGCGATAAATTAGATATGTTTTCGTCACGTAGCTCACAGTTAACATCGTCTTCAACAAGGAGACAAATGTTTATGCCAAATAATATATTTGTTGGCCGAATATGCACCTGCGATTAGCACGGTTGGCTACGTACGGTGCACAGTAATTTCAACATTCAATGCAATGAAATCTCGCACTGATCCTCCTAGCCCAACCCCTAACCTCACTGCTGGAGTTTTACTAGGGCCCATTTTTTTCATTATTCACTTTTGAGTTTTGGCTTTTTACAGCAGCCAAGGAATCCACAGACTCCTGACTGGGGAGAAGAACAAATGTCGCAATAGGCAAACCGGATCCCTGTTAAAAACAACAACAACAACAACACAAACAACAACCACGCACAACACAGACGGAGGAACAAAGGATGTTACTTTGTTGGAGCGGAGGGTGACCCTTCCTCCGCAGCGGGCACAAAACTTCGTCTGGCAGTAAGAGCACAGGTGGCCACAGCCATCGGCGAACTTGGTCTTGAGGCAGATGCCGCAGGTGGGGGCATCGTCCTTGGTGTCGGACGCCTGCTTGCGGGTCTCGTCGCCGATCTTCTTGATCTGCTCCTTGTAGCTCTCGAACTGCTGGTGCAGACGCCTGCAGGCAGGTGGGACAGACGGACAGAGAGAGAGAGAGAGAGACGGCGTGACGCTACTAGCCCGGAGGGCTCTGCTCCGCCACGGGGCCCTGTTGACGTGTCCGCGTTCTACCGCGCTTGGTCCGGCTCGTACAATGCGCACCTCCAACGAGCACGGTTGGCTACGTACGGCGCGAAAGAAGTTCAACATATTTCGATTTAAAGCTTTCGTGACTGCAAGGATTCATCTTCTTTGGTCCTTTCGGTAAAGTCACCACGTAGAATGTGAATAAAACAATAGAATAACACGATAAAATTCTGACGACGTTTCGGCCACAACGCAAGCGGCCGTCTTCAGGTGAAAGGAACAGACCTGTCGGGACGACAGAGCTTGACCTTACCGAAAGAACCAAAGAAGAAGTTCAACATACATGCATAGATCCATAACAGATGTTTTTGGGTTAGATCACGTAAATATAAATGTGTCGTTAAACCCGTCACTACCCGATGCAGCAAACCCACGATATTTTCTCTCCAATACACCGGTGTGCTGCAGTAGTAATACGTGACAAACATTAATAATTCGCTTTGCGGGGTGGTGGCGGGTTTAACGACACGTTTATGTTCACGTGATCTAACCCAAAAAATCCTACGTGTTATACATACATCGATACAGCTCGCATGAGATTTAGATGAGAACAGATGCTTGCGTGCTCGTGTATTTATTACGGACCGCAATCTGCCATGACGCCATGCGACACGTGCTCTACAGCTTTCCCGTACCGCGCTGAACGAGCACCATTGTGGAACGCGTCGAGAGCAATGCCTGCAATGCCTGGAAATCGAAGTGCAATTGTTTTCACTGGCCGCATTGCGCCGATGAGACCTATTAAAGTTTCAACCGGTCCCGGACTGGCCTGCTTAACACACGCGCTGCGAGAAGACACTGCAGCGACTCACTGTTGTCCTGGGCATCTCCAGCATCGACTCAGACGTGAATGGGTGCCTGGTGAGGCGTGTAAAGATCGTGGAGACGAAGGCAAGCCGGGTGTGGTTTCAACCACATGACCCTTTCATGTGCCTCTTCGGCCTCAACAGGCGCTCACGAACAGCACTTTCCCGGACAATCTGCAAGGCTATGCGTGCGATGCTTGTTTATTTGCATGCGTGTGTGCGTATCTAGAAACACCATGCAGTGTATTACATCAGTGGGAGAAATAAATAACGGCTTGGACAAAAGCTATTAACAATAAACAAAAAATGTCCTGCACATGGGCTGGGCTGACAGCTGACAGTTAAGCAACAAAACACCAGCATGAAGGAGAGGCTCTCGATGGAAACCCCCTCCCTGGGAGAATGGAGCAGCATCCAGCCTGGGCTTTGACCGCAACAGCATTCGCACACAGTAGTTTGCAACACAATTACGGGTTCGCTTTTGATGGAACTAGAAGAAAATAAACTTATCAATTGGCCCCAGAGTGATGGAGACGCCCCGAGGAAAGTTTGTTGCAGGATTGTCGAAATGCACCTCGTCAAAATGGGCCGCATGTGTGATCAGTACGGCAAATCCACGAAGGATAAATTCCTGCGGATGGTGTGAAACCAAAACGAGAGTATGCTTCACACGAAGGAAATGTAAAGCTACGATTAGAGATACATTTGTTCCTCTTAAATTTTTGTATTCACGCGAATGCAAAAAACCTCAAGAAACCAGACACGATTATGCCGGGATTTTTGGGTAAGTTGCAAATGCGACCCAAAAATAAAAACCCCAACAAAATACGTGAATACTTATTTGGAACTATTTAAAAGAAAAACAAAACGTTCTGACCAGAAACGTTGTTCCCGCAAAAACAAAATTAAATTAAGTACAGCAATGAAGCACATAGCAATCAGAAACTTTGCCAGTTTAAACTGCAGGGTTTAGATTCTTGTTTTACTGTTACCCACACTTTTACTGTGATTTTTTTAAATATATATTTTACCCCTTCATTAAATTCAAGTGTTAATTAAATGCATCACGCGTCAATTACATGTACACGTAATTTAAATGTGCGTAAGAATATTCTTTGGTTCTTTCGGTAAAAGTTACGTAGATAGAAAAATAATTTAAAAAATGATTTTTAAAAAACCACGACGTTTCGATTGCAACACATCTCTAGCCCCACCCACTCCAAACATATATAACCTTTGGCTGCAGTGGCACTGCCTTTGGCCGCAGGAGCTCTCTCGCTACATTTCTTCCTGCCTCAGCAGTCCGCCTGCTGTATTTGTTCACCTGAGGACGATTGCTCGTGTTGCGATCGAAACGTCGTGGTTTTTTTTTCATCATTTTTATTATTTTTTTCTATCTACGTGACTTTACCGGAAGGACCATAAAATATGAATTCCTGCAGTACACGAAAGCTTTAAGTCAAGATTTGTACAGAAGTAATGTTGTGATGTATCAAAAGCAGTGTTAAAAATCCAGAAACGTCTCCCGTCAAGGCCACGATGTTATTGATGATGAACGTGCGGAGTTGCTCTGCTGTCTACATTAGGGTTATCATCCAATAAAATTAGTCACGCTCTAAGTTGGCCTTAAGGGTGTCGACTTCTGATTTAAAAAAAAGGGGTTGCTCAGAATCACCACTCCCGAAATACAATTACCAAACGGTGAAACACAGCAACGCCGAAGACGGTTCGCCCCGGACGCGGCAGAGTCGCATCTGTTCGTAGGAGGTGAGCGATTACAGCCGTAGCGGGTGAAACAAAACAAAAAAAAAGGTTTTACGGTTGAAAATACCGCCGGGGCAATGAATGCGTGCGGCGCAGGGCTGCGTTGAGCCACACGAGTTCGAAAACCTTTCGTTAGCGTTTCACTATTGTTAGGCGTGTGCAGAAAACAAGACATATGCACAGCTCAGGTGCTAAATTGTTACGAATACAAAAACAAACGTGTAGGCTGCGTGTGTCAGTGCAGCGGTTACCGCGACGTGCTACGGACACGGCGACCCGAGTTCCATTCCTGCCCATGAGCAATGACATTGGCGAATGTTTTAACCAGTCCTGGGCCTCTCCTAGCCTCAAATGAGTACCTGATGTGATAAAGACGGCTGGGTGTGGGTGCTGGCCACCCATCCCCTCGTTTGCCATGCCGGCCTTCATAGGTACTCGCTAAAAGCACTTTGCCGCAACAGGCTGTTAAGACTATACGGGGGATATGTGTCTTTTGTGTGATTTAATATTTGTTAGAGGGCATTGTAATTCACTGACCATGAGCTAATTTCATTTCTATACTGGGCACAACTCCTCTTATCTGCTACCCTATTACACGTGACTTATGTTGTCCGCAATAGCTATTTGGTCCATGAAAATTCCTGAGTGGCCCCATTCTTTCAAATATTTTGGTTATTTTCCACTACATCTTTCCCACAGATAAAGGGAGTGAATTCGTGGATAGCCCCGCAGGGAAATAGGATCTGCAATATTGCCCCCTCTACATAACCACAAACGAGAGAGGCATTCTCCGCTATCTGTCAATGGCTTTTGTGATGAAATGAAACAATGATGATCAGTGGAACGTGTTAGTAATGGCCATGTTGTTTGAAAATATTTAAAATTATATACAAAACTATAATATTTGACACATTATTTAATTCATGGATACATCGCTCTTTCTCTGTGTGTGCCAAGTCCTTTCTCAAAGATGTCGGCTTTCATGGCTTTCCTTCCATTTAGCTCTAGCCATGATATTTACTCAAGAACTTTCTTTAGATGCTCCTCCCAGTTGCATCAAATTGTTCAAATTGCATACGCAACTCGATTCCCCGTCTTCCCCAGTTACCTTGTACCCATAATTTTCCCAGTCGAAAACAATTAATATTCAGAATCTTGTCCTTCTCATTACATACCCAAGACATTTACTTTGGGTGTCTGTAATAATTATTTTCATGATTGCATCTTATTTTTGTGCCTGATAAATAAATGCGTACAATGCATTAACTTAATCTTGGATCAGGTAAGAGCTCATTGAGACCAGAGGCATATTTTTTCAAGAGAGATCTGGGTCGAACGCATTCTAACTGATGCCTTGGAACTACCAACACGTTCCGATGCTGCAAATTGAAATAGTGTATACTGCAAAAACAAAAAAAATTGAGGAGGAACAGCGTACAATCAAACGTATTAAGATCTTCTATGACACTTTAAGCTGAATAAAATACCCTCGGCAATATCATGGTTCTTACAGATGCTATTTTACAAGTGCCGAACCTGTATTGTAATTAACGTTGCATTAACGCTCACGTATCCTAATGGGAATTCATAACTTGCAAAAAATGTAGTTTCCCCTTATCCTAATGATTTATTTTGATTATCAGATACCCACTCGACTGAAAACAACGTTTCAAGCATTCCCACAACATTTAGGGCACTTGAAGGGCTGCGTTGAATACCCCAGCAATCTTGCCTTGCAGACAAACGCTCGCTTAGTTCACACCCCGACGAAAATGAGATGTGCATTAAACTTGCTTAACCATTAACAACTGTCGCAACAACAACAACAAAACTAAACACATTCGACAATAGCATTGTGGTATTGAAAGGGAATATATATATTTTTAAAAAACTGTGACCTTTTTGGCACATGTGTGCTATGAACATCGCATGCTATTAAGAAGAGCTATTGACCCAAACGTTGCCTATTATATATTCATGCTGGACTTCTCATTGTCTTGTGCTCGGGCACGGGTTGGCGCTTGCACTTCGCAACTCCCCCTATCCCACACCCCCTCTATCTCTCCCCCCCCTGGCTCCTCTTACGTATATATAGCCTCGTGTCACAAGCAGCCTCCTTTTGCCCATTTCAGCAATTTGTTTATTGCTGGGGTTGTTTCCACACCTGATGACGGGCGCTTGTGTTGCGCCCGAAACGTCGTGATTTAATTTATTTTATACCTACGTGACTTTACCGAAAGAACCAAAGAGTATTATATATTGCTTTTTTTTTCCTTGTAAGAGAAGCGTCATTGCCGAATGC